GGACTAAATCATGTGTTGTTATACGTTGCAATTGGTACCTAAAGATGCAACTGGTTTATTGTTATCCGTTATGTGTAGACACAACATTAGTTCATCCTTTGAGTTAGGTGCCTTTTTTGTTTGAATGATTCATAAGTTAAGTGGATTCATCAAAAAATACAAATAATAATTAAATGAAAAGGAGTAGACTGGAAATGAGTGAAAAAGCAGCCAATGTCCAAAGAAAAACTTTGAAAAACCTTCAGAAAGCCTGGAGAACTATTGCATAAGACTGCTTTAAAAATGAGAAATCTACGGCTCCTTGGAAGCAAAATATGAAGAAAGGAGGAGTGGCTCAAAACCACAATATTATATTTTTCACAGAGCACACTGATTTATTTTACAATTTCATCTTATATTAATACAGAGCCTTTTACATCTCTGCAAACTGAGTAATGTACATCTAATATTTACTCATTGTTTGCTCTGTTTTTGTCATCACCACCTAACTGAATATGTGCCATAGAATATGCAACTTTTCCATCTTCTTTGCTTTAGAGACAACAGAAACAAGTGAGGTGTATCCTCATAAGATAAAACTTTGTACAAAATTGGGCAGAGCCATTGTTGATATAAAAACTATTTATTACAGCCTGCATGTCTGTGATAATGATATACAAACAAAACCTTTCTGCAACATGTGTGTTAGCCTCATACTCCCAGTTAATCGTGTCATTAATCATAATGACATGTCTTGGATACCTCTGAAGTTGACATTCATTAGAAACGGGGGTCAAGAAAGTATAAAATGCAAGTAAACAAAGCTAAAAATTGCATGGCTAAGAAATGTAAATGTCAACATGGAAACAGATGTGGTATGAAAATTATGTACAAACATTGAGATGTCAGTTTAAATTATCTGAATTACAGCTTTGGTTTCCTTTAGTCAATCTAACATGCAGTAAAATAGCATCTTCCTCTTTTTGATGTTTAATGGATGCAATAAGCGATGCTGCATGTGGTCTTTGCTCTTGAAAGAAAGTCTTGAAGTGAGGATATGAATCAGATACAGTCTTCTAAGCTAACTGCGTGGTAGACTTGAGGCTAATGGCTTCCATGCTATCCATTCCAGTGCTGCCCTCTGCCTTTTGAACAAATAATCCTGGAGATCTGTTATCTTTCAGGTTCAGTTTGTAGACGCATGCTTCACCTTCTACTTCAATTACTGTTTTCATTTCCATGAGGAAGGAGAAAACAGGGAGTAGGATATCATTCCAGGTTTTGTAATAAGAATTGCAATGTTTCTGTATACATTCAAAACTTGATCTTGCAGCTATTATAAACTTAGAGAGGACAGCTGAGTGTTGTTGTGTTTAATTTTATCAGATATGAGAGATGAGAAACAAGCTTGCATAGATTTTCATGTCTGAGCACGTATATCTACCACACAGACTGCATATAAAGAATGGGAATAGTTTCCAGGTCTAAGAGGTAAAGTAAATGCAGAAGGGCCACAAACCTGCAAATCTTTCAAATGACCAACAGGAGGCATCTTGTTGGAAAAAGATGTCCGACATTTATAAATCTATGAGAAAATAACTCTACAAGTCACTTTGTTTGGGATTTAGGACCCAGTGTTTTGATTTTCTTTAACTTTTAGTGTTTCCTGGTTTCTTTATTTCAGTTTGTTTTATTGGGTGAGTCCCTTATGTTAGGGAGAATGTAATTCCTCAGTGTTTAGCCTTTGGTTCTTGTTATTCTTAGTTTTCTTTACGTCAGTGTTTCTAGTTTAGACCACCTTAGTTTTACCTATCTGGTTTCTGCTCTCAGTTAAGTTTGTTTTAATTCTATCCCTTGCTTCAATTATCATGCTTGTCCAGTGTTGCCATGCGTTGTCTAGTTTTTATCTGTCCGTAATGCCATGTTTAGTAAATTCCTTTTTTATTTTGCTTCCTTTGTCGTGTCTCCCTTGATTGTTGTCAGCTGTGTCCTTACCTGTTGCCCATCCTCTTGTCATCTTATGAGTATTTATTGTCTGTGTCACCCTTTGGTCATTGTCACGTCCTATCGTCATGCCTGTGTGCTCACTAGTGTTTTACAGTGGCTTGTCTTTGAACATGTTAAACAGCCAGCAATATTCATTCATTCATTCCACTTCACAATCCTAAGTTCTGCATTTGGGTCTGCAACCTGCCTGTTATACAGCACTACGTGGTACACTTGATATCTGACTGCAGTAAACACTTTTAATGAGGTGAGTTTACGGGCTCAGTATAACCCAAATACATCACAAAGTTTATTTTGTAAAGCATGGTACTCATTATAGTTTAAAAAGGACTATAAAGAAGTGTACGCTTTAGGGACACCATATTTTGTGATTGACAATCTGCTATTTTATGAGCATGTACAGTCCCTCGGTTCATTAGTCAGACCCACTCACTCATTTCAAAATTTCACTAATCACTAGGTAATGTCATGCGGTTGTGTCCATCTTTTGTATACAGTCTACAATCTTCCCATGTCCTTTGAAAGACATGGCCCCAGCATATTTTAAAATAAAAAAGTGAATGAGAAGCGCTCTATGGTTGGCACTTGATCAATTATTCTTCAAACTATGGTTCAGAACATTTTGTTTCAGTAGCACCATTGCCTCTAGGTGCCACTTATTTTGCTGCCTGTAAGCCTGTCAGTAAGTTGCCAAACACAGTCACTTACTCATACACTGACTAATAACACTTGGTGGAAAGTGTGTGAATCTACAGTGCTGAGCAGAGGTTTGCTGATTTCTCCACTCCTGCAACAAGTCTGTTTCCAAAATTGCTGTGTAGATTCACCATAAATGAAAAATCTGATTTTTAAATGACTTTGTTATGTATATGTATTTTATTTTGGCTATTTTACACTGGCCTCGATGATTGCTTAAATACTTATGTTTCAGTGGACATTCCGTGATTTATTTTTGGCTACATTAATGCATGAATGTGTTCTGGCACATAACACAGAGATATATAGTGTCAGAAACCCAAAATCATGACATAAAGCAGGTGTGTAAAAATAAGATCAAAGTTTACTTGAACCAATATCAAAACATTACCTTCAAAGAAGGCAAAGATTCAGGCAGGGTTCAAAAGCAGGCAGAGAAAAAACAGACTAATACAGGAAGACAGCCGAGGGGGGTGGAAATCAGCCGTGAACGTGTGCCGTAATGACTAAGGGAACCAGTTGGTGAAGTGAATGCAGGTGAGCAAAGAAGCTGAAAGGAAAGCAGGGCAGGTGGGAATGGTGGGTTTGGAACAACAGGAGGGAAGTGAATGGGAACATAAAAAAACAAACTGCATGAAGACCAATATACACCCAAAAATCTATAATTTTTTCTGCTAATTGTACCTTCTTCAAGAAGAGATAAAGAAGACCATAAAGCAAGACAAGACACAAATGATGGGAGAGAAGGCAAAATTGAATATAGTAGTTGTATATAAACACCTGGCAAGTAAAGAGAGGTTAGTGGAGAAGTCCAGTGCATCATGGGAAGTCCCCCAGCAACCTGAGCCTATTGCAGAGGATCACCTGATCTAGCTCACACTATAAGCTTTATCTGGAAGTAAAGTTTAAAGTCAAATCCTCAATGGAGACAGGTCGTCTGTCTGGAAGCTGGTTCCACAGGGGTCTGACAGCTGAAATCTCTCCCTCCCATTATACTTACTACTGGGAACCACAGGTAAGCCAGCAGTCTGAGAGTGAGGTGCACTGTTTGGATAATATGGTACTGTGAGGTCTCTGACATATGATGAGGCCTGATTATTCAAGACCTTGTATGTGAGGAGAAGAATTGGAAAGTAAATTCTGGGTCTAGCAGGTAGCCAGTGAAGAGAAGATAATATGTTAGAAACATGATCTCTCTTTCTTGTCCCAGGCAGTACTTTCACTGCCGTGTTTTAGTTCAACTTAAGGCTTTATGGGGAATTTTTAGAACCGTCACATAATAAAGAATCAAAATAGTCCAATCTACAAGTAATAAATGCACGAACTAGTTTTTATCACCACTCTGAGACAGGATGTTTATAATTTTATCAACTTTGGGAATCAATCAGTCATTCAAATACCTCATTTATATTTAGGTGATCTCCCACGCAAGGTCATCTTCTCAGATATGTAGACAGCATCTGGTTTCACCACAGCCCTCAAACTTGCAGAGAGAGCAAGAACATCAACTTCTGTTTCAAATAGACCTGAATTTTGTGTTAAAGTTCATTTCTTCGTATGCAAACAGACACTTTTCAAGCCTGAGGAAAGAAACCAGTTTGTTCACAATTTTTTTTTGTCAACACTCGTCAAATTGCACAGTCACAGTCACCACACTGAACACAGTGGAGAAATGGAGTTTTTTTTCCCCGAAGTATAAAAAGTTCTAAATTGAAACTTACATTCAACAAACTATGTTTTTATGTTTATGGATTAGTGCCACCATGCTTTAAAAAAGCATCACTGTTTCATACCTACCTCCAACAATCCAACTGTTATATTTCATACACATTCTCCAGAATTTAAGGATGACTAGTTGAGGGTAAACACTTATTGCACAACTTTTTCACTATAATGAGCACCAAGCCCATATAATGACTCAGATTTAAAGTCATTAAAAACTATAAACTGTTAATGATTCAGAAGCCAGTTTTCCTGAATGTTGACAGTATGAAACATCCTGTCTTGTGCAACAAGGCTAAAGATCCACATTTTCACCTGAAGGACTGGGAAACACACTCTGCAGAAGTGTCACCTTTCATCGTTCTCACTTGCGATGGTATCAGGTGTACTTTGAACAGGCTTGTGTGTGGCTAAAACTACCCTTGCGCAGGATGGGTGGGGTAATGTGGTGTGTGTTTAAACAGACAAGGTAAGGTCTCCCGTCACAATACGTGCTCAGGCAAAGATCGGGCTTGAATGGAATCCTTTACCTGTAACTCTGGGGAAACTGTACACTGAAAATCTACAACGAGACTTCAGTGCCCGTCGAAACCACAATGGAGACAACTAATGATACCACAAAAATCCTGGGGAAAGGTCCTGAATACCTTCGTAAACAAATGGATTTAGAGAGTGAGACAAAAGGACGCATGAGTGCTGTGGAGAGGCTCGCCGCAAGTAAACCAAAATACGTCAAAAGCCAACAGGTGGTTAACTCAACTCAGGAGCCAGTGATTAGCCTTGGATCGGCCTCTGTGAGTAGCACTGGGTCCTCTAACCGAAGCTCACACCGGGATGGGAATCTTCCTACAGGGAGTGACTTGAGAGGGAATACACTCACTGTGCAAATCTCTTCACCAGTGCAGGCACATCGCTCCAGCGCCAAAAAACGACCAGACTCTCTTCTAATTTACAGACAGAAATGTGAGTTATTGAGAGGGCCAGCAAATGAACGGAAACATCATATAACCCGTAAGTTGTTGCTCAACCCTGTGAATAAAAATGCCCCATTATCCGAGGGGACAGATAAGGAATGTGAGTCTCAGGGCAACGGGGGAAAAATCACCACGCCTAAGGAAACAGCAAAGGAATGGAATCCACATGTAGTTATCTCTAAACCGGAGAGCAATGGAGTGACAGAAGAGTGCAGAATCAAGAACAGTGACTCTGGTACAAAACCTAAGGCTGGAGTTGTAAATGCATCTAGTGGTCTCCTGACAGTTCCTGAGGTTGAAAGGAGGTCTGGCAAAGGAGTCAGTCGTTCTCACTCTGATATCAGCTCCAGGTATTCCAAAAACTTTGCAGACTTTGATGTTTTTTTCAAGTACTGCGGGCTGGACGGTGAGGTCATTGAGTCTTTGGGGAAGGACAACTTCTCGGCTCGCTCAGATGAAATTGCAATAATGGTTCGGAGTGTCAGTGTTTCCACGTCAGATGATGGCTTTTCCAGGAACAGTAGTGACAGCGATGCGCTCATGGAGGAAAAGCTGCACGAGAAGATACGTCAAGAGACCTCAGTTATTGAGCGCAACGCACGGATTATCAAGTGGCTGTACAGCTGTAAAAATGCTAGTGACACTGGAAAAAAGTTACGAGATCTTCACTGATTGCGCTTTTTCTTTTTACCAAGTGATGTTACATAAAAGTTATATTTTGAGGACAAAGATGGAAGTAGTTTCTTGTTTTTGGCCTTAGAAAACACTGAATGATACCCTACTTTTCCAACTGTACCTAAATCTTAGGTTATGTATTGTGTATGCTGCATGTGTGTGTGTGTGTCTGTGTGTCCTTTACTGATGACTTTTCTGAGAGCAAATGATGACTGAGTGATTTCTTTTTTTTTTCTTCTTATTTTTTTTACTTGCACAGGACCATCTATGATCTCAGTTACACTGGAAACAGATAAAATACAATGTCATAAAAGCTTTACAAAAACAAAAAGTATTTACATTATTCAGCTTCAACATTTTTAGGATTACTGGCTTATTTAATATAATACTTTTGCATTCTATTCAGACTCTATAAAAAAACATTTCTGTATTAAATATGGTCAAACGTGCATACAAGAAGGCAAGCAGTAATTCAAAAGAATTCAGTGAAGTGCTGTGATATGAAGCAAAAACATACTAGTATGAACTAGTTTGGGATTATTTTCTTTTTCCATAAAAATAAAATACTTTTAAGTTCAGTGATTTTGGGTGTGAATGGGCCACAGTCATATAGACTTACATTGTTTATAAAAGCTATACTGTATTTTTATGCGACTATAATTTAAAGCTTTTGAAAATGTACAAAATTTGTCAACATGACATACTTCCTGCTAATGATAACTCAATGTCTAACAATGCTGCAGCAATTCTAGCTGTAGCTTTTTGATGAGTTGTCATCAATGTTACATAATTCATCTACAAAACATTAGTGTGTTTATTTATTATTCATTAACATGCAATTATTTTATACGATCACTTATAAAATGTACTATTTGTAAAGAGTGGTACTATTATTTTAAGATAAAAGGCTCACAGCTCATGGCCTTTTGATTCTTCCCAGGAACATTAAAAGGAGTCTCACACTGATGCTCATAAATTCTGCTCCTCTGCGAATACCTTTAGGCCACCTCAAACATGAAAGCATCCCTAAATCAGAATTTGTACAACCTGCCTTTTAAGTTTATAATCCAATAATGTGCACTCCCATTTCTCTCGGGGTGAAAGGTATACATTCCATCACACCAACACACATGAAGACACACACACCCACACACAACCTGGAGACTTACTCTGAGTTTACCCATAACTACTGCCTGCCAAACTCTGACCATAACTTATCCTAATGTTAAAAGATAGCTTTAATATATAAATTTGAATGATTTAGATCATGAGGATTTGTTCCCTTGTCCACATACAAAAAAAAATTTGCATGTATGTGTGTAAATAAATTTAGGTCACCACAACAAGTGTAATATCTGCCACCCCACAGACACTCAAATGCAAACCACAGCAACTGATACAAAAAAATTTACGTATGGAAGATCTGCTTATATTTAACAGATGTATGAAAAAACATTTGAGGAAGTGGTTATTTTCCTCGCAAACTTTCCCTTAGATCTGTTAGGGGAATGTGCTTAATAATCTGATCGGCTTATGTCCAGTGACCCGTTGTTGTTGTATCTCTCTCCCAAGCTCCGTCTGCTTTGTCTCTTCATTGCTTTCTCTCTCTTTTTGTCTTTTAGCCAAGTTTTTTTTTATTCTTTGAAGCTCAGTGGCTGAACATGAGCTGGGGGAAAGCAATGGAAAGACTGTGCTTGACGCAGTATGTTAAACGTATTGCCACCTATTCAGTTTCACTCATTGTCTTCTTACAGAGAAAGAAACAAACAATATACGTTATAAGTTCATGTGAGTGGGCACAAAGTAGTTAGCTGGTGCAGACACACCTTTCACTTCTCCAAATGCCTGACTGACTGTTTAGTACAAGCCTCCACTTGTTGGTTGCCAAAAGTAGAGGTTACCTGTTGATAATGATAGTCATCAATATGTGATTATTGATTGTGAATGTGAACTCACTATTGCTACAAGTTTGCATTTAATTTTGTTTGTTATATGTAAAACTTAAAATTTTTGTACTCCTAGATAATTTGTATATCTTTACCACCTTTTGCCCAGTTTTACTGCTACTGAAAACATAAAACACAAATAAAACTGTTTTTACAAGTAAAATGTTGCATGAGTATACTCACAGTGGGTGGAATGGAAATGTTTGCTAAAGTTTAAAAGTTTTAACCCAGGGTGAATATATTGTCTTTGAATTACTCCCCTGCGACCATGATAAGCGGAAGGGAATGGATGGACGGATGGATTGATGTTAAACTACTTGCTCTTTTATTAGTTGTTCTGTTGGTTATGAGAATTATCAATTACCTATACACTGCCACTTCATCAGTTACACATTGCTAACACTGGGTTATCTTCAGGGCTGCCTTAATTCTTCTTGGTGATGTGATATCATTATTGTTATCATATCATTACATTACATTGCTGCTGATTTTTCAGCTGAAGATCAATTATGAGAATCTCCTCCTCCACCACATGCCAAAGGTACTCTAGATGTCTATTAACTGTTTCTTATATTCTGTTTTTCCACTGTACTTGAGCCCTCCAACTGCTTTATATACAAACACACATTCGTCAGTGGCATGCCGTGACTTTTACAGAAAGGCAAGCAGAGACAATCGTCACCCCTCACACCCACTACACACACAAACAAACACACCTTCTTCAAAAACACCAATTTAACAAGATAAACTGGATCAGATTAAAACATGCCATTTGTGCTGTCCATCTGCAGATCTTCATGTTTCTACACTCCTTCCTGGCTGAAGAGATGTAAAATATTTCTAATAACTTGGTTAAATAAATATCTACCATATTCCCCCCACTTTTTTGTCTTGTTAACTGACAATGACAAGTGGTGGAGGAACTTTTCAAACCAAAAAGCAATAAAAAACCTTACTTTACATAAAACTGTATTATTGAAAAATTGTGTATAAAGTATCAAAACTAAAACTATTCTGCAGAAAAATGTCACTAATCAGTGTTAAATATTATTTTTATCACTGCTCCATATGTTTAAGGTTGATCACATTTTAAACACTGTATTTCTGTTTAATTTTCAGCATCAAATTCTATAAATCACACATTTGTCGTGGCTGTCCTGTGAGGACCGCATATCTATGAAAAAAAAAATCATTTGTTCGTTGCCCATCTTTTCTACATCACAAATGTTCTCCAAGGTGGCCAGTAAGACAACGAGTTGTGTTTCCATACGAAGCATATTACTGATCTCAGAGCAATGAAAGCTCCCCTCAGCTTACCATGAAAGACCAGTGGTTTATCCAAAAAGGACATGCACAAATCACCTGAAACAAACTGCTGGCCTCCTAGCTCCAGTTATTGTTAATAGGAGGCAGACACGCCTTCAGAGATGGAAACAGCTACATTTTTCTGTGAGATGAAATAAGCACAGCTTTCAGCGACAATAGCCAACTGCAGTCACAAAATAGCAGTAATGTAAAGGACAGATTAACTGACAGGAGGAGCTTTATGATGAGGGATCACTTTACTTTGCTACGCTATAATTCACGTTTATTTTTAGATTTGACAAGGCGCGCTACTTGCTTTGCTTGTCCTGATGGAACATCACTGACACTACCAGTCTAAAGTTTGGACACACCTTCTCATTCAATGTTTTGTTTTTATTTTTGCTACTTTCTACATTGTAGATACATAAACAATGTGGGCTTTAAAGATAATTAAGAAACTTTCTGAAGGAAACCTGGGCTTGTTAAGAGAGACGCCATCCATTCCACTTTGGATGGAGAAGCTCTCATTTCTAAGAATCTGGCCAAATATATTAAGCCCCCCAAAACGTGACGATCCAGAGTTGGGACCAGGAAACAGAGTTGCAGTCTTACACGCCTCTCTGCAGCTTCTCTCCTCCCATTATCCCCCCAAAACCCCATCCCCTCAAGGTCTGTGTCAGCTCCCAAGCAGACAAAAAAACAAACAAACTAAAAACCGGCAAAAAACAACTGAAACATAAAAAAACACAAAGAAAGAACAATACAGTATCATCAACAGCACCAAAGACTAAAACAGTGAAATGTGGATTGTTGAACATTAGGTCTCTGTTACTTCATGAGTTAATAATTATTCAACAAATCGATTTTTTTTGCCTTACAGAAATACAAAAATGACAGCCTCAACACGGCATTTAATCTGTTGTTAGACTCAATTGGCTCAGATCAGAGCTCAGATAAATGCCACAGAGTTCCAGTAGCACACACATCCCTACATCAGCTGTTCAAAGGAGACTGTGCAAATCAGGCCTTTATGGTCAAATAGGTGCTAAGAAACCTCTACTAAGGGAAAGCAACAATCAGAAGAGATTTGTTTGGGCAAACAAATGTGTGGGGTTCAACACATTGGGTCTAACCCACAACCCCGAGATTAATAATCTCATAGTCTTGAGCTAATCAGGCTCCACAGTAAGCCTTCAGTTCATGTCATACCAACATTTAAGACAAGTTCTTCCTCTGACCTCTAATATAAATAAAGTATTTACACCCAGGAAACTCTCACTCTCACTTTGTATTCTAATTTTTGCGTCATAACTTTTGGACTGTCCACTTCCTGCTGTGACAAAACAAATTTCCCACGTGTGGGACTAATAAAGGTTATCTTATCTTATCTTATCTTATCTTACTAGATATATATAGATTCTGGATAATGTTTGAGCTTATTGTATCCAGCTTATGGGAGGCAGTATCCAACAACAAGACCAAATTGTCAGTACCTCTTTTACTAGTAATATAAAATTCCTAGTCAGTACTCTCATGTCACTCATTGTTATTGCTTTATCATAAATTAAATTAAATGATAATTGATTTCATTTTAAGACATATTTAATTATTCCAATATTTAATTAATTAATTAATTCATAGTTCCTGTGCTGCAGTCTATGAATTTATTTTCCATGTAAATCTCACTGATCAAAATCAAGAACTATGTCTAACACTGATTTAATCAAAACCATTGCTTTGGTCTGAAGTCAGTTCTGTCAGTGAACACTTCTCAATACAAGTACACAAAGTTTGAACTTGCATGCTTCTAGTTCCTACTTTGCAAGTACACTCAGAAGTCAGGACTTCTGAGCATGGGAACATCCGGCTCACAGTGAGACAGTAGAATATTTGATGACATCAGCTCACTTTCACATTGTACTTTACTGCCTTTTAACCCTTATGGTTAATATTCACAATGAATATTGTGAATATTCATTGATTTTTTTCAAGGAGAGGGTAGAGCTGGGTGAATGGGTGGGTGCTTTCACTCCTGCCACTAGCACTGCTACATGATTTTACATTGACGTGATGGCCAAATAGGTCCTGCAACATTGGGTACGAAGGGGTTGTTCAGTTGGTTGCATTCTCCAACCTTTACCACTAGATGACACTAAATTACACACACAAAATACATAAATGAATACCTATTAAATTCATATTTTAACCACAAAGAACTCCCACTGCAAACCATATAGGACATTAGACTGTATTTTTAAGCTCAAACAGGTGACGTGACAATAACAATAAAATTTTTGAGAGCCGGTGTACAATGAGTCAGGGCTGTTGAATGCGTACAAAACTTTGAAAGAAACATGTTCAAACGGGGTGTCGTTTTTGGACATCCGAAATAGCTGCATTTTTTAAATTTGCATATACAGGCACAGTATTCAATTGACCTTGCTCTGAACGACTTGCGACTTAAACTGAAGAGAATAACGTCATTTGAAACAATCAAAAGTAAACTTATCTTTTTACATCCAGTTTGCAGCTTTACGCCATGCACATCAAAGCATGATGGTCCCAGAGTAATAAAACTGTGACCTAGATAACGTGTCATAAAATATACGGCTTAAACTTAAACCATATAACTGATGTGAAAAAACAGTGGGTGGGGTGAGAAAATAGTTATTTATTCAAGTTAAGTCTTTAAAGCGTTTCATAACATTTTTCAGCATCAGTCACTGACTGACCAGTTACCATCCCCCATCTCAAAATCAAAACACAAGTACATGTGTGCAGTCCGCTGTCACGTGTCGAAGAAAGCCCCCAACAAAACAAATGGGATTAAAAAAAAAGCTGTTGAGTGACAGGAGTGATTATCCAATCGGCCTCCCGAATCTGGGTAGCAACAAGATAAATACAGACCTTTTGACCAATCAGAGAGCAGTAGGGGGCGTGAATTGACGAATTCTCGCGCTTACTTCCGTCAATATTTCCAGCTCCGCAGAGGGGAAGGCTAGAGACGGAAGCAGAGACGGGCAACACAACAGAAGAGCTGCTTCTCTTTAACGGTTTGTTTGGCCGTTTTTCAGAAATTCACAGTCTTATACCAGCGTAGCGGAGATTCATTATTTTCTTCTTGTCGTCATTATTTGTTTTGGGTCGACTGACAGCTTCGTGTTTGATAGCTAAAACGACTTTAACAGCGCCCGCTAACGCTGTCATTGTCCAAATTCTGAAGGTAGAAAAATATATAATTGCGTCACGGATATTGCAAGGTATGTTATTTAAGTATATTAAAACACTGTGGCTTAGTCTGGCCCTTTACATACGAGTGTTAAATCTGTAAACGCGCTGTAACAGGGTAATTGAGAATGGCTGATGGCCCTGTGCTTTATGTGATATGCAGTTGAAAGGTAGCTGCAGGCTACAGTGTCTCTATGAACACTAAGAGAAACCATAATAATACTTTTTGTTTTCACCTTTTTTAACCAATGCTGGCATAAAATATAAGAATCTATGTGTGGTGGGATTTGTTTAAAAACAATCAGTTTCAATTTGTAAGCTTTAAAAAAAATCATCTCAGTGTTTTTGAACTGCCATTAAATTGGTGATATTTATAACTTGTTCACCTTTTCATTTAAAAGTTGTTGTTTTTTTCAGTAGAACCAAATGTGAACATAATGTGAATATAACCGGTTAAATGCTTAAAACTGTTTGTGAAATTTTATTGTAGCATGCTATATTTAACAAGGACAAATTAGATTTCAAAATTTCTCTCTTCTTTGCATGGTGGCATCAAGAATAAAAAAATCTTTTTCTAACAAAAGCTGGTTAAACCTCCAGGTGTGAAGTAGCAGCAGCCCTCTCTGCTTACAGTCTCACACCTGCCAGACAAGATGCCTTTCTTGGGTAAGGATTGGAGATCGCCGGGGTGGAGCTGGACAAAGACGGAAGATGGCTGGAAGAGGATCATCTTGTTCGGAGATGTTTTGGAGGACAACAATGGAGAGATTGATTTGAAAGAGTAAGTTGCCTTCACCTTTATCTACCTTTAATCAAATTTCTTTGGTTTAGTATCATCTCTGTCTGAGCTCTACATATTTAAGTAGTCAAAAATTTGCCCAATTAAAGAGCACTTTAGCTCTGTTTCACATTGGTGACCTGTCCAGGGTGTACCCCACCTCTAGGATAGGCTTCAACCTCCCTGAGACTCTCATAAGGGCGTGCAAAAGAGAATGCATAAGCAGGCACGTGCAGAGGGGGGG